TTAAAATAAGCACAAGGGGAAAAAAGAGAACCTTCCATCAGTCTCGTGTTCGTAAAAGTTGTCAGCAATCCTGCTTTGATTGTAAAGGGTTTACAGCTATATGTTTGAATAGCTGAAACATCTGTTCAGCAACGTTGTGAAATCCTCGTGTTCGGAACCCCTGATAAGGGGGACTGCCGAGGGATTGGCTCATAAAGGCTCCACGGGCAGCAAGAGCTGTACATACAGTGGTCACCGCTCGCCTTTCCTCCTCCTCCTGGTCAGAGGAAAACGTAGGAGACAGCTACTATTTTACGGGTGATTTTCCTTTGAGAGGGGGGAGAGCAGGAAGTGCCTAGGAAATGGTTCACGACAGAAACCTGGAGTTGTAAATAGGAGAGAGGAGGAGGAGGAGGAGGAGGGAGAGCTCATGGGTGCAGTTTGTGAACAGTTGAAATACTGATACCACAGCAGCGGAGGAAAAAAACAGACTTCTGCGAGAGCGAGCACATCCTAAGCCATCCCGATGGAAGGGGAGACGGTGCCCGAGGCCAGGAGAGCAGCCAGCAAAGCCACACGGATCGCCCTTGGCGTCTTTGTGAGTGGCACCGTTGTGCTTGGCACTGCGCTTTTCTTGGGTAAGTGAAAAGGCAAACCTGAACGTAACCCTCCCCAGCCTGTCCCCTCAGGGCGGGCGTGTGTGCTCCACGACATATTTTGGGGAGAATATCGATCTCTTCTTCTTTTCCCTCCGTTTTATATTTATCCTGAAATGGAAATATGTCGGGAAAGGGATTTGTTGTGGGAACATTAGAGCTGGAAGATGCAATGCAAGCTCAACTTTTTGAATAGTGTATTTAAATTTGGATACTCAGTTGAATGTGCTCTAGCCAGAATCGGGTTCTTTCGCAGAACAGGGCGAAATGGGTGAGATTACGCACATCGATAATACTGATTGCGAACTCACAGATTGTGACCGATGTGGGCTAATATTCTCTGTTTCCTGAATATGAATCTGTAGTGCACACATTTTATGGAATCTTTTGGGTTTTCCTTCATTTGGTTTTCATTTAGGGCTTGACTAAAATTCCTGTAGAAGGCTTCAATAATGCATATGCTTGCACATTTTTTAGATGTTTCTGTTCTTCTATGATGAATTGCAAAGTCGTCTTTGCAAAAATCATAAAGAGTGCATCCGGGATGAAATTAAAATGTTTTGATCAGATTTATAAGCTGTAACTGGACACCATAGAGAAGGAATTAGTTTTTCCTCTCTGGGGTTTGGAATCATCTGTAGATTGGTTTTGTTGGAATATCACATGGTGGCATATGCCTACACCTATAAAATGATGTGAAGAAGTATAAATGTACCCAAAACCACCTGGCAGAGAAGAGAAAGCGGTGTTGTATCTTACGAACTTGCAGAGACAGATTCTCTTTTGGAATAATTCATCCCAACTTTTCATTTCTTTAGACCAACACAGATTTCCCTGTAATGGAGGGAGCTTAGCCCTTCCCTCCATTCAATTATGATCTTGTGATCTTGTTTGAAAGGTCTGCTTCATTTATAATCACGATAGAGAAAATAATGCCAGGTTTTCTATGGAATATTTAAAGCACCAGGCTCGCAATCGGTTAGTGTTTTTTCTGCTCTAGAGCAGCTGCTAGAGCAAATTCTACAGACATTTGCAGACAAGTAACTTTTGTGTATGTGAGTAATCCCACTCAATTCAACAAAACTCTTTATAAACGTGAGCAACTTTTTATTGCAAAATACTGTTTCTAGATGAATAATAACATTTTTCACTTAGTACAATATCAAACATCAGGACGTAATGGTGAGACCTTCTTTCTTTTTTAGCATTAGATTGTTCATTGCTTGTAAAAAGCAATAGACTTTTACCGCCCTTGCTGGTCAGAGGTAGAAGCACTTTATCCATAGACTAGACATGAAAATTCAAGCAAATATATTAATTCTTAGAGATAGTTTTCCAAGTGTGCTGAGGTCTATCCCATAGCCAGGGATTCAGTGTCAAAATTTTCATTGGCATAACTGCTAAGAAAATAAAAATGTTGGCCTTGGGTCAACCAAAATGTTTTTAGGATTTGTTTGGAAATTGTCTGAGGTTTTCAACCAAAAGAATAAGGGGAAAATAGTTAAATTGTTTTGGTTTAACATTTTGTCAATGCAATGTTTCCAAGTTTCATTGTGACACTGTGTTTTGTTTGTAAGTTTGAGTTTAATGCATTTTTAGTTTTGTTAAATTGTAGAAAAGGAGACCATTATTTCCGGTCTCATGCAAAACATTTCAGGCACCTCAAGATGAACTTTTTTCTTCAGTTTTTATTTAATCTGCAAAACATGCTGTTTCTGGTAGACCTGAAACAATTCCCTTTCAATTTTCCAGCCTGAGGAGTGAAATGTAGCCTTCTCTTGCTTCCCTTATTTCTTTTTCTCAGAGTTCCTACAATTCTAAGAGGAATCTGGGAGAATCACATATTTTTATTTACTCTTAGTTGCTCATATTGGCTGTAGCCATACCGTGACTTCAGCAGGGAGCTACCAGGGGAGTCACTTGGCATCACGCAGGGTCCTGCCGGTGGCTCTACAGACAGTGGTGTGGGCTGTGGCAGGAGAGGAGCCACCTCCTCCTTGGGAGCTGGGGCCAGAGCAAAAGGAAGCAGATCACTCTCCTGTTCTCTCGGGCAAAAAGTCAGGCAGCTTTGAACCTCAGTTGGGTAGCCTCTCCTTCTGACTTAGTAGCCCTTTGGACTTCTCAGATTGTAGGAACATCCATGGTATTTGCATCTGCGTATTTTTATACCTTTTTCCCTTTCACATTTTTTGGGGGAACTTAATTATGGTGTATATTTGCTTAAGAATCTGGAAACAGGCTTAAAAAGGAAGAAGCTGGGACACTAAGCAATATGACCACGACTGTAGGTAATAATGTAATGGTTAGTTCTCTTAACAACAGCAAAAAGGCAAGAGAACAAAACCAGGCAGTTTTTCAATCAAAATTAGCTGTTAATTAAAAGGAAACATTACTATAGATTTTTTTTTTTCATTTACTCTAATGATGAAGTTGTAAATGGAACAAAAACAGTTGAAATGGTATTTTGCTTCCATTTACAAGTATCAAAACCATGAGAGCCACTTCGAACTCTTTACTTACACTTTTTCATTCTCCCTCATTTTCCATCAAGTGCAAAAGATTTAAATGGTGTATGGGATTTTCCCTCCGCTCTTTGCTTTGTTAAGAGAAAAAAACCCTAGCAAACTTCCAAGATCTAATGGGTTCTAAAAAGCTAGCTTTAAAGTGGGGAAAAGGTGAGTTGGAAGGAGTGCAACACTTAATAAATAGGCACATTACCCATTATTTGTATTTGTGTGGCTCTAAATCATATTCTGGAGACCTCCACTTCTCTATTTTCCACTGTTTGTCAGTATTCCAATCAGAATCTTCATATGCCTCAAAATCTTCTGTATTTCTTTGCTAATTTTCAAAGGTGGTTGAGGTGTTGTGTTTCACTCACTCAGTGCAAGCTTTGGTAAATCTGTCCAGAAAGTTTTACATTCTTGGTTTCTAAGAAAATTTGACTGAAATCCAGCCATTTCTGCCATTAATTGTCATTAAAGCTATGAGGCTGGAACAGATGAAATAGCTTTATATTCAATACTAGCTTTAGGTTTTTTATAGTAAAATTTTTCTGTGCTGAAATACCATTTCAGATTTTCCTGTCTCTTTTGAGCATATATAACTACAGGAGAAATTGATTTATAATTATCAACACAGGTAAAGCAGTGCTACCTTAATATATTAAATTATGGAGTTCTCTTGTTTGGTTTTTTTTTGCTTTTTTCTTTTTGCCATGCACTGAGTTATTAAGATAATGGATATAACAAGACATTTCTTTATGCCTACTGAGCACATCTACTGAGTCTTATTTCATCTGCCTCTCTGGACTTTCCCATACTTATCCCGAGCATCAATTATCTGCATATATGCTGCCTGACTGCAGTGTCTGAAATTAGCAATTCCTGTGCTTAATTTTCAGTGGCAGCTGTAATACACATTTTTAACAGATGAGGAAAATTAACTGACGATTTCATAGTTCTTGTCAGCAAGGTTTTTGGATGCAAATCTAATTACAATACTTTCGGGAGCCAGTTCAGACAGAAACTGAGCTGCGCCTTACACACCGCAGCCATCCCTGTGCCCATTGCTGTCTCATTTATTCCAGGCTGGAATTAAGGGGACCCTGAACATGTCCCATGGGCGCTGGGTCGTGCCGGTGGGGCCGGGCAGCGCAGTGCTGCTGCAGGAGAGGGTGCAGCAGGGCAGCGCGAGCCCCGCAGCTCGGGAGGAGTGGTGGAAACCCTGCAGAAGGTGGTGAGATCCAGCTCCATGTTGTGTCACCAGCTGCGAAAGGTGCATCTCTGGAGGATGATAGCAACAATGGTTAATTTTTCGTAGTGTGGTGGCACTCGCCATCCATCCGTGAGTAAGGCTGAAGCATTGGTCCTCCAGGCACTGTGCAAACGTACAGTGAGAGACAGCCCGTGCTCCATGCTGCCTACGAGAAAAGGCAGAGGAAGGAGAAAGCAGGCAGAAGGGGGGGAAATTACTTGTTACGAACTGCGGTATTTACTCAATATGCATTCTGTTTTAAATCAGTGTAGTCAGAGATGCATTAGGGCCAGAGCTTGCACTGGGGTTCGAATGATCAAGTACACAACGTTTGGCTGCAGTGGTCAAAATTCATTACAAATGATCTCATTATGGTTTTCCATTTTGCAGTTAGCCAAGGTCTTATAAAGTTTCATCCGAAGCAACAGTACTGTTTGACTTCAGAATGCATTGAAGCTGGTAAGCAACAATTTTATCGTCTCTACAATATCATGATTACAATATATTAATGAGATATTTATACTGTTTACATTTTTCCCATGATACATTTTACTCAGGAAACTTCATTAATAATGAAGGAGAAAAAAAAAACCCAAACTTTTTTAAAAGTCACTGTTGAGGTCGCTGCAGATCTGTTTATTTTCTATAATTAAAAATCACGTTTTAAGTTCTTTTGCCTCTATTCTACCCAGACTAATTTTAAGTTTCTTATAGGGTTTATTTATTTTTGTAATAGGAAACCAAACTTTGGGCAACTTGACCTTCAGGTCTATTTTGTTGTTTCCTTCCCAGTAGTCAGAAAACTAGCAAGTGAATTGTTAAGCACAAAGATGCTTTAGGGCCAGATCTTGCAGAGACTTGCGCAACTGTAATGTGGTGACTATGATTCAAATTCTGCACCTAATTCCATATTGGCAGGTGCTTTTCTCCATGCAGAGTTACATGTGGCAGCCCTCACAGAGCTGGGACGTCCATTAGTATTAAATGCAAGCTAAAGAGACCGGGCTTCGTAGGACCTGAGACAGCCATTTTGCATGGGGCAGTTTTGACAGTTTTGCTCGTTTTCCTCACACTAAATCACTGAGAGTTTTATCATTGAATGTAACGAGAGGACAGGTCAAACAATATTTACCACATCTAGAAATCTGCCCACAGAGCTGTTTTATTGGAAACAAAGTGGACATTGTGTACATATAAGAGTATTTATATTCATTCTGAACCATATTAAGCTGATAGCATGAGGTGTTTGGCATGTGTTTGAAATCCTGACAAATTCTGTAGGGCTCCATAAATTGAAAATAAATTGCAGATCTCAACATTACCGGGATGTTTCTTGTCATTCTACTTCTGCTCTGCGCTGCACTGATAGTGCTCTTGGCTCCCCTGGGCAGAACCATCCAGAGCTGATTCTTGAATGACTGCAAATATTGAAGGTGGGATGACTAATCAAAACACTACTCCCACCACACCCAACCTGTGTCCGTGTCCCGTCGTTCCGCCACCCCCCGCCCCAAGTGTATGGGTTTCATCTTGAGCTTTGAAACAAAAAAAAAGTCTCTTAAGCCAATTCAGATTCAGACTTCTTTCTTCTTCTCTTGTGTATACCAAATTATAAGGGTCCTTTTGGTAAGCTCAGCAGAAGGTGGTATTTTGCACCGAGGCAGACTTGGACACCTACATGACCTGACTGTTTTAGCTCCGAGTGGGCTGTGTAGTAACTACATAGTGTCTCGAGACCTGAGCCTTGCCTTGCTGAACAGCTTTTCAGGAGTGACAGAAAATTGCCAAGGACCAAAACGTCTTAAATTTAGTCAGTTTGAGAGTTTCTAATGTGAGAGAAAGATTTACAGCTGAGACATAGAATATCGTAGGAAGAGTTACTCTAAGTGGATGAAGAAGAGTTACTGGAGTAACTCTTCCTACAATATTCTAAGTGGATGAAGAAGAGTTACTGGATGCTAGAAATAGTACCATGAATTCTGTAAAAGTTATCAGATTTCCTGCTAGGATTTTTAATCAGTTATTTGGATAAGCCTCAAAACACATGGTCATTTAGCCAAAAAATGCCCAGTATCCACATATTCCATGTTACTCGACTCACGTAGAGTTATGCCACAATCACTATAATGCATTTGATTCGGTACTCAGAAGTTAAGTCTGGCTCGTCAGACTGATCTCTCTCACCAGTTTCACCAGCAATAGCAACTGGCAGAGATGCAGTCGCAAAAGGGAGCCGAATTATCTTTTCCAATGAATGGTAGATGAGGACTTGATTTGTTTTCTTGTGCAGCTATTCAGCTAAATATAAACAGTGCATAATTTCTGGAATGCTAATTACAATCTGCTTGATATGTATTGCTACTAAATTCCTCAGGCAATTAATTCCATCATGGCAACAATGGATAGCCTGTCTTAAGGTGTCTGGCTCCAGCAGTTCACGTTCCTGTAGTGCTAGGTTCAGTTGTCATTGCTGTACGGCACTCAAGAACATTCATTGCAGAGGTTTTGTCTTTTTATTTGCTTCTCATGTGGGCGCAGTTAGATGCTAGAGAAGCTGTGTGGTATTCTTGCCGCTCTTTAAAAGATGGCAGAGATCACAGCACACATCAGTCCTAGAAAAACAAGGCTGAGCTTGCAAGTGAGGTCAGCATCACATTGCAGAGATTGGTAAACGTTAATCGTTGTTTCCGGACTGTGGCCTCGTGTATTTCTCTGTTTAGGAAAAAGTGTTCCACCGAATCTATGTGGTGTCATTTTTTACAGCTGCTGCCATCTTAAGCAAGATAAATCAGTCTGTAGATCCGTGTGAGAACTTCTATCGATTTGCATGTGATGGCTGGATATATAATCACCCTATTCCTGAAGACATGTCAAACTATGGTGTTTATCCTTGGCTGCGACACAATGTGGACCTCAAACTAAAGGGTAAGTATGTCATTTCTGAAAGTGTTTGTTTGGCTTGTCACTGCAGCTTGTTAACTGGCTGGTTTTGAAATGAATAAAGACTCCACACTTCTTATGAATTATTGGATAATATCCAACAGACCAACTTGGTGGTCTCCTTTAAGTATATTTTTGTCGTTTTTTTTATTTAAAGTAACATTGAGAGATAATGAATTTTAACAGAAACAGAATTTGGAGGGACGAATACAACTGCTGGCAACTCTACAAGTTAAGGATGGAGAGACAAAAGGGTACTCCTTGTATCTGGGGCAGGATGTGAGCTCTTTCCCCCTTGCAATGCACAGGTAGACCAGAGTGCAGGAGCCCAGCACACACATTTAAGAATGTCCCACATCTTAGGACAGCATTCTGTCTCTAAGACTGGCCAATAGCAGGACAAGAATATAATAAGACAAAACCAGAGTGATATTTTCCAGCGTCCTTACCTAGCTCTTGGCAGGAGGCAATTTACAGACTTCCGTAGACGGTGGTTGGTTGGGTAATGTTCTTCCTTCACATCGTGGTCAAGCTGCCATTGCAGTACCTGAGCTATTATCAGTGAAACAGAAGACTGCTTAAGAATGTGTGTCTGGAGGAAAAAATAGCCCCGGGGTGGAAACGTGTAGGAAGAGAGGTATTTTAATCTGCGTGTGACTTGACTTAGCGCTATACTCTGCAGCAAGGACACCTCATCAGGAAGCTGTGCAGACCAACTGGGGAGAAAGGGTGATGATTATATTGTTAGGTAGGAAACCCCTGCCAGATTCTTACAATCTTCACTAAAAGCGAGTCATGCAAAAGAAGGGAGATGTGCAAGATTTATTATTGTTGGTGGTGTGCTTGAGCATTGCATACCTTCAGCATGTTATTGACCTATTAGTTGACAGAAGAGCCTGCTTTGAGCTCACCACAGAACAGAGGTCAGTTTTAGGATGTTGTGCTCAAATATAGCATTTATTTTTCTCTTAGATTTCGTACATATGTGCGTGTGTAGGCATCAAAGCCCTTCTCTGCTTGCTTTCTTCAGTCATATCATATTCAATTTTCGCATCGTTAAGTATTTTAAAAGCTGCATTCGGTTTCAGGATATGAGTTTGGAATTTCAGCATAGGATACGATCTGATGACTGCTGTTTTAAGTCTGCTGAAGATGTCACAACCAAAGGAAAAAAATATTGCCAGAGCCTGTTTTAAGTTATGCTTTGCATTCTAATTGTTCTGCTGCCAGAATCGGGCTGTATTAGATAACTGCACATCCTGCATGAACCACAGCCACAAAGAAGCCAGTCCTAATTGAATATAGAGTAGCAAGCTGTGACTCTCAGCCTTAATTTCCTCTTTTTACAGAGCCTAATCAAGGACATCATGCTAAGCCACATTTTTATATGGTTTTCTTACTGCAGTCCCTTTAGAAGTTGCTGATCCATAGCTAGGAAAATACAAGACAAAGAAAGAAACATCTAAGGGAGAAGTATTTGCTTAATGGAAACTCCGTATCAAAAAAAGAGTGTAATGAAGTGCCTGATAACTACTTTAATAGGAGGCCTCAACTGCTCCTTGGCTCGGTACAGGGACAAAGATGTGAAACACTGGGTGGTGTAGAGGAGTTGATTTAATATAACATTTGTCATCTCCTCCTTAACTTTTTACTTACTAAACTTTCTAAAATATACTCCTGGTAATTACAAAAGGAAAAGGGAAAGAAAAAAAAAAGTTGGATGTGAGTGTTGGTAGCTGAAATAACAAGGCCTAACTTCAGCCTCTATGTATATTTGCATTTTAACTTGAGTTACTTCCACAAATAAGATTGACACTGAGTTATTCATTTGTGGCTGACCATAACCTTGCTATCAAAAGTTTTAGCAAGATGAAGAACTCCTGCACAGAGAAACATATATATGGCTGACCAGACCTTGGAAGCCAATTTAATCTCTCCTTCCTAAAGAACTCTTAGTGGAACTTTGTACTTCTTTGTAAATGTCCCTGTGTGACACCGAGTAGATTAAAAAAGCCCCAGTCTTTAAGGAGCTGATTATTACGCAAGTTCTGTGTTCTGAAATATTTATCGTATTAAAGAAAACTATTAATCTTAAAGTGATAACATGGTTTGGCCAGAAAGCCACATTTTTCATATTTTATATTCTTTGATGGTACGATATAGACGGAAGTATTTATTCAGGCAATATGTTAAAAAACGGTGTTACTTAAAATAAATTATTTGAACATCTAATGTGTTTTCTGGTCCCTGAAAGTTCCCGAGCCCTAGGCAGAAAGGGAGTTTGGGTATGTGTGCAAAGACCCGTGTAAGGCCTTGGTTACAAAAGGGTATCTTCAGTCTTCTGGAAGCTTCATTTTTGATTCAGGGGCAGTTGCTACGGAAGAAGATCTTCCAGTTGATAATGGGTAGCAAATGTAAGAATTAGTTTTACCTTACCAAAAACTGGTAGGTGTGGCTGTATAACGTACTGAACCCTGCATTAAGTATTACCAGGTTTGACGGCAAAGCTTTTCTTCTTTTCTTTTTCCTTTTCCTTTTTTTTTTTTTTTGAGGTTGCAGACACACAAGAGCATAGGACTTTGCAGGGGTCAGCTTCAAGAAAGGGTAGAACATTTTCTATATTGGTGCAGGTTTTTGGTGCCTTAATGGGAAATTCCAAAGAGAGGAATGGCAATGGGTCAATGGAAAACAGCTGAGAACTACTGGGTGGTAGATTTTTTGCCTGCATATCTCTGGGCCATTGAAGGAATGGGACAAGAAACATTCATTTCAGGGTTCTTCTAGATTTGCAAATCTTAATATGATATTTAAAAATATTATTTTTTATTAGACTTGGGTTTGTAATGGGACAGGAAAATATATATATAGTGCTCCCATGGCTTTCTCTAGCTGTCTTAGGATGGATTACAACTAAAATTATATCATTTCCCCTTTAATTTCTTTTCCATCCTTTGTTTGAGGGTCACTTGGATTTCTTTTTTTGGTCTCAGAGGAATCCTCAAACCACATGTGTAACTCACTTTGATCTCCTGGCTATACAAAATGGGTAAAATCCTAGCCTGGTGAAAGCAGTGGTAGGTCTTTCCTTGGACGTCGGCAACAGCAGGATTCCATGCGTTGTGGAGGAACGTATGGAAGACAACTGTAAATAGCCAAAGATATGTCAAAAGCAGAGACGTGTGGTTTTGGTTATGCCCCAGATCCAGGTAATGGACGTCAAATATTTTGTGTAAAATTTCTTGGTTCCTTTCTTGGTTCCTGCAGAAAACCGAGGTACTCCTACTTCCAGTTAACCATTCCTGGCTGGACCAGACTGTCCCTGACTTGAAGCCAGCGTTTTATCTGCAGATACTCTGCAGGCATGTTAAAAAGTGCATCTTGTTGGTTAATAACAACCACTTTTAGTGCCAAAGGGCCTCTGAGGAAGCTCTTGGAGTCCTTCAAAATGGAAAAAATGGTTTGACTGTGGCACTTGTTGTATGAACAAAAGCTATCTCAAACTGCAACTATTTCAGCCTTATGTCAGGTCAAGATTGCAATGTCTCTGGGAGTTAATAAATGTTTTTCACTTACCATAAAATTTCCTGCAAAGCTATTTGTGTTTCTGCTGAATTATTCCATTTTGATTGGTGACCTTAATTAAGAGTTTAGGAGCGCTATTGTCTTACCATTGAAATGCAAGTGGCTTTTTGTGAATAATTCAGAACTGGAAGTCTAAGGCAAGTAAATCAGTGCCTGTTACCTGTGGTGAATGTTGATCGTGAACCAAGCAGTTTCTTTTCCTTTCTCTGAAGCCTGCAGAACAATGATATACAGCGGGTGGTTGTTTTGTTTTGTTTTTTCAAGTGACCATGCAGGAAGCAATAAATTAAAAAAAAAAAAAAAGGAACAACAAAACTACGCAAACATTCCTAAATCTCAGCACTGCAAAGGAGCTGATTTAAATTACGTGAGTCATTTGTGAACGTGTCTCCCAGGCCTTTTAAATTTAATTTATGTCTGTGGAAACCAGTTTACAGATTAAGTCTTCATACTGATCCTGGCCCAGTAATACACCTACTTCAGACTAATTTGCTGCGCTAAGATTTCTAGAGTGGCTATTTTCTGAATGCCAGTCAATTTAAAGTGAGGAATTTCCAATGCGGCAAAGAGAAAGAAATGGAGGACTCTTAAGAGGATATGGTGTGTGGGTTTTTAAAGAACATGAGACAGACAGTACACAAAATAACTTGGCAGTGTAGGTAGTTCTTACTGAGATAATCTGCAATGGTTTTCTTTAGAAAAGATATTATTTTTAAAGTAAAACCAGTAAGGTAAAAGTATCTCGGTATGGAAATTTATACTATTTGACCATAGGATACTCCTTTTAGACAAATCCCAGAAGTTGATGTTGAGTGGCTGCTGTTGGTTTTGGGTGGCTGCTGTCCTGCACTGAGGACGCTGTGCCACAAGGCTCTTTAGTGATGGTTTCTCTTCTCCCACCCTGCAACTAGTGCTTGGCTGGGACCACTGGGATGGCTTGGATGTGGCCCATGAAATCTGTAATGTAGCTGCTGACACTCATCCCTAGGTTTCTTTATTAGCTGACCTGTCTTTTGTGATTTCTTTCTTCAGAGGTAGCTGGTTAAGAGCTGTCCCAAGTAAGAGGGAGAATGCCAGCAGTAATTAAAAAAACAAAAACAAGCTGAGAGGGTATTTATGTTTTTGCCTCCAATATCTTCTTGTTGGATAGCTCCTCCTGGATGATAAGATAGCAGCAAACAGCAACAGGGCTTAAAGCTCTTTTGATTGGTCTTTTTTACTACTAATGGATTTCTTTTCAATGGTGTAGACTTTTTTTTTTTCAGTGGTTCAGATCTTTCCTATAATGGCTTATTCATCCAAATGGAAGAAAAAACATAAGTGGCACCGTCAGATAAACGTCTCTGGGCAACAAGTTAACAGCTTTTCGGTAAAATGAAGTACCTGAGTCAAAGGTGGAAAAG